GAGATGCGTAAAAATGTGCTGGATAAGTTGGCGGTTCATGCCGCTGTGGCGACCCCTGATTGATAAAGGGACTAAGCCGAAAACAAAATGAATGAATGAATAATGAATGTACAAAAAGATGTTTTATCTTCTATTTTTTAATTATTTATGCATGAAAATAGTACAATGAATGAATGAATATTTTCTGAGCTGATGGATTAAATAAAAGATTGAAATAAACAGCTCTGCGTAACTCAGACTGCTGTTGTCTGTTGTGATGTCCCAGCATCAGTGCTTATTTTGAGCTCTGGGTTCAGAACAGCACCTCTTGAAGAGGCGGGGCTAAAGAGAGTAAAGGCCTCATCTGATTGGTCAGATTTGGATAAACATCCTATGCATGTAGCACACAAAACGCTCGATTCATAAATTCATTTAATTTACTGCACTTCTCTGTGATTTGCATACTGCATATAGTATTATGGCAATAACGAACCAATCACAATTCCCCATCTGGAAGGACCAATCACAATCCTCAGTCAGGCTGCCTCACACAGTGTCATGCTGTCAGCTTTGAGGACGGGCATTCCTGTCCAACATGGCCACAATCCAGCTCCACAAAGATATGAAGGAGGACTGGGCTGGCCTGCACAGAGTCCTGACCTCCACCCTAATGAACGCTGAATGATAGAGGGATGGTCAGAAACCCCCATAAACACACTCACAACCCTGCGGAAACCTCAGAAGAGCTGATTGAGAGAAGAGTGGTCCAGCTCAAACCCCTGCAGGATTCAACAACAGCACCATCATTGAACAACACAAGCTTTAATGTGTGCTTCTGACCTGACGGGACACTGACACACAAACATGCTTCATCATCATCATCATCATCATCATCAGTGACAGAAGCAGCGTAAAGGCCTTAAAGGGACAGCTCACCCTGAAACAAGTACTCTGTCATCATTACTCTTCCTTATCAGTCCCACACCAGTTTCAGTTCATTTATCTGAGAGAATAAACCTGTTAACACTGACCTCAATAGTAGGAGAACTAATACTGTGGAAGTCAATGGTTACAGGTTTCCAGCATTCTGCAATACAGCTTCATTTGTGTTCAACAGAATCTGTTATGGGAGAAACACAGGTGATGATGATCACAGACGATTCCTGAATCTGTGTCTGTAATGAACTTAGTGACGCCTCGAGTGCGTGATCAGCTGCTGTCCTTCAGGAGAATCTCACACACACACACACACACACACACACACACCTGCAGATAATCTGTAATCCTGATTCCTGATCCTCCTTACAGTTCTGCAGGCCTCTGATCAGCTCTTCACAGCTGAAGCTCTGGATTAAACACTCATCTGTCACTCTGAGTGTGTGTGTGTGTGTGTGTGTGTGTGTGTGTGTGTGTGTGTATATATATCTCTCTCTCTCTCTCTCTCTCCCTCTCTTAGAGAGACACAGACACAGAGAGTGTGTGTGTGTG